CTCCTCCCATGAAGTGTTTCAGTGAGCACACATACAGTAGTTACAGGAAGAGGCTGGTGGAAGATGGAGAGGAAACGTTATGTAAAACATATATACAAGTTACAAAACTTCATATACATTTTTTCCTATGTAGTTCTGCATCCTGCCTGGCCTTGACAGATTAACCTGACTGTGAATGGTCAAAGTTCAGCAGTTCCTCTTGCCAGTAAGGATTTTTCTGTTTGGGACGCTCTTTAAAGACATGAATCAGTAGCACATAGCGTGGGGTAAGAGTTTCTCTCAAGAGCTGGAATTAAGTGGCATCCAAAAGTAACAAAGTGTGTCCAGTTTTTGGGTACATCCTGTACCATCACATGAAAAAACAACTTTGACCGGTGTGTGATCTGCAAACAATCTTTTTTTGTTACTGGATGTTTATCTGCCAACATTTATTTGATGGGGCTTCCTGCTGTGAAGTTGGAGTCAAACATCTTAAAGAAATGGATTTTCAAGTGTAAATCAAGGAAATGCTTTCCACCTGTGATGAGAGGACCAGATTGATCTCGGGTCACTACAGCCAGCTGACAACTGCTGATGTCAGACACATTGCAAACTCTGACGTACCAACATCGATCAGAGCGTGCACAGCTGCTGAGCTCAGGTTTAACACTGGTGATGGGGTTGGTGTGTATGTGAGTGTGTTTCATGCATTTCAAACTGGTCTGTCCTTTTGTGTTTTAGATCTTAGGTTTGTCTAAGGCCATTTCACAAAAGCCAGGTCACAGCAGATCCTCTCAGTATGAGAGTCAGATTCTATTTTAAGATATCTATGAAGGGCACAGCACAAAGTGGTACAGTTCATCTGTTGAAACAGGTGATACTAGAAGCTTGGTGACATTGTGGCTGCTGGCAGGACTAGCATGACTATAGGCAACAAGCTGACCATTAGCCAACTTGAACATTCAAGCCATTCAAAGCTGAATAATGAAAGAATCAGTCATCTAGACTGAATAAGGATCTACTGTTCTACAAGTGCCCCCATCCTGGTTTAAATTATACCCTGCCCTAAATGCACTAGACGTTGCATTTTGGTATTTCAGACTATTTTGCACTCTACCTGCTCCACTACACAGCACTACAGATGTGACCGGACATTTGTAATCCTGCTTTGCATGCGTATAATTGTGCAATTACTTCTGGTTTTCTGGGTCAAACCTAGTTTTCGTCTTGCCTAAAATGACTGCAGTGAACTGTGTTTATCTGAGCAAACATCTGCGCAGTGGATCTGTCCGGCCCTGTATTCACCTAAATCACTACAACATTAGGCCACTGATGTCTGGGACTGCGTGTGCAAGACACAGGGCTTAGGAAAGCAGAAAGGACTCTTTTTGCTCCTCATCCTCCTCAGCTCCTCATCCTCTCTCTCTCTGCCTCTCACTCATCCTCTGCCTTGCTTGCTTGTCTCCTCTGTATTGTCCCATGAAGTCCGAAGCCCAGCTGTATTCCTGTAGGGCTGAGCGGACAGATGTAGCTGGCATAAGAAAGTAGCTGAGATGAGCAACCGAAGCTCAGATGCCGCCTGCAAACTTGCCTCGTGAATTTTACAATAAAAAGGAAACCGAGGAAGCATTATGAACTCCTAACAACAAATCCTCATTGTGCACATTATGACTCCTCAGGACTGTAATGCTCCATGTTCTCATCTTTATGCTTCACAGGACATTTGGTATGTTTCAGTATATTGTTCCATATATTGATATTTGCAAGGCATTTTCCCCGAAGAGATGGAACTTGTTCTTTTGCTATTTTAACGGTAAACACTTTTTAAGTGTTTGACGTAATGTAGGGAAGTTAATATTCATTTGACTCCGGGCATTTTTAAAGCAGCACTTTTCTTTGCATTGTGGCAAAGTGAAGCACTGTTAAATAATATACACACTACATGTATACATGCTTGTTTTCATTCTGTGTGGGGACTTCACTGACTTTCATTCGCTTCCTGGAGACTTACCCTAAACTTAACCATAATCATAACATCTAACCAAGTCTTCACCCTAAAATTGAGTGATTTACATGGTGTGGAGCAGCATCTGGTCCCCGCAAGGAAGGCTGAGTCCCCACAGTGAGAGTAATGCCAAGTGCACACACACAAACACACAAACACACTCTCATGCAGACGTGAAATTATTCCCAAGGTTTACAAACCATATCTATGCAAATGTTGTAGGTGCGAGTACATTAATACGCACAGACACACAAGTCTAAGCTGGTGGATTTTTTATCAGTGTTTTACACAGCAGTTTTTAAAAGTGCATGTGTGTGCGCGTGTGTGTGTGTGTGCACAAAGAAGACTAATTACTGCCAGGCATCTCACTTTCATCTCACTTACTGTGAGAGCACTGTAGTGCTTGGAAATGACTTTTCATTTTAACCACTTCTGTACTGGTTTGCCAACAGAGATGAAATGGAAGCTCTGGAAACTCGTGTAGAATGGGTTACATGTCGAAATTCATCTAAACAAAGCCAGATACCACTTAAACTATCATGTATGCTACATTAAATATAGCAATCAACCAGAACATGATGAAATTCATTAACCAGAATTAGGCCTAATAATTATGTACACAATTAGTCTAGTAACAAGAAAACTGGATTCACAGAAGTATAAACTGTGTCAAATGAAGTCTCCAAAAGAAGTACAACACAGTAATTATTTAGCCAAGATACGAGAGCAGAGCAGAGCAGAGGTGAAAAGAGTAAAACACATAACAGTTTTTCCAACAGCACATTACCAATTTGTTGTAATAGCAACACACGAGGCCCTTGTCAGTGCATGGTATTAAGATGTGGGTCCTGTGTGATCTTTTTTCTTTTATCGGTGTGTTTGCCTTTAATTAAAAGCAGGAGTCCAAGTATAAAGGAAACACACAGAGAGAGAGAGAAGTATGACATGCAGCAAAGGTCTCTCAGTCAGGAGATGAGTCCAAACTCCTGACCGGGAGTCGACTCGTCAGGATCAATTAACAGTTCCTGCACAGCTTTCCTCATCACTTTATATGTGTCCAAGCTCTACCCACTTTAAAATCCAAACTGAAAACTCTTTGTCCTGTGCTGCATTTGGGGCGACACACAATTTATTACTGCACTGTACAGTATGTACATTGTCTGTTTGTTTTTATTTTCATTTTATGTATTTTATTTTCAATGTAAGGTAATCACAGTGCACTAGTGTAGGTCGCAAACAGGAAGTGGCTTTGGACATAGTTGGTGGTTTATTTGGTTAAAATGACAAACCCCTCTGAGTCACTCTGATGTGAATGATGTCACCGTTGTGCAAACAGAATGTGTGTGTGTGTGTGTCTAATTACACTGAGTGCTTTTTGTTGCGTCTCAGTGTGATCAGGCCTCACTGAGCCTGACACTCACATCAATAGAAACCTGACGATGATGGATTCCCCTCCGCTGTGAAGCCATAACACACACACACACACACACACACACACACACACAAACACACATTCTGCACGTGTGTCCATTATTCCTCATTCTGTATCTTAGTGAGTTCTTTTCATATACAGATAAAAATACATGTTTTGTATGTATACACACAGAAAACTGCATGCAACAGTTTTCTACCTTTCTCTCTCTCAGTCACTCTCTCATACACACAAACATGGTCACAAGCATCACCTTAATTATAATTTGTTGAATGGCTGGTGCCTGTTGAATGATTATAGATGGAGAAAAACACAGAAGTTGCACAACACACTCAAAAACACACACATTCCATGTTTTCAGTAGCAAGAGCAAAAGAGCAGAATCATACTGGAAGCTTTCACCCCCTTCATTCTAATTAGTTGTCTTTGTTTTTAAATTAGCCTCGTTCTTTACTAAACTACTAGACAACATTTTGTATAAGACAAACACAAAATTAATCTGGAGAAGAAGAGAGTCCTGGGATTATACAAACATACCTCATTAGTACAAATTCAGTCTTCTCTACACATAAATCAGAACATACAATATGTACAGTATTTTAAATTTCTTTAATAGTATCCGTGCACATTCTCAGTCATCCAGGTCAAACTATGTGGACATAGTTTTAGGTGGAAGATGTTTCACCTCTCATCCAAGAGGCTTCATCAGTTCTGTCTCACTGGTGGTGAGCAGGAGGTGTTTATCCCGCTGGGTGGTGGTTTAGTCCTTCGACGGCCAACAACGTCCCCTAACGACCGAGTCGTTGCAGTACCGGTGCTTTAGTGGACATTGTTGGTCACCAGCTCAGTGAAACCCTTCACAGTTGTGCAGCTTGTTTTATGATTTAGCACAGGCACAAAGTCTCACACACACACACACAGATACACACAACATGGTCTGCGTGTCCTGTGTTAATGTCCAGCTCGATGAGTCCACAGTGTCTAACAGATATTACCTTACAGTCCAACTCGGAGCTGTTCTTCAGAGGAGAGCTGCCAGTGCAGGATGACTGAGCCATTTGTTAGCACAAATTATTAAATCTACTCTGCTTGCTAAATACAGCTGTCAGGGGCAGAAGCCGGGACACGGTACAGCTTACCAGCGTCTTATAGCAACTTCTTAAATATGAACAAGACCCTTCTTGCAGTATGGTCAGCTTTTAGGATATTAAATTAAACACATACACAGGGAAACTGTGAGTAAACCTGTTATGTAATTCCTTTCTAATGCAAATGCACCTGAAAACACTGGAAGCTCTCTGTCATCTGATGCAGACGATGTTAAAGGTAAAGAAAGAAGTTAGGCTGCATGATTTCTGATGTTCATCACAGTCAGCCACATGATGATATGGTTGACGTATGATGTGGACTCATTAAATGTTGCCTTCAGTGTGCACTGGAGCTGTGTGTTGTTCATTGTGTGTCTCATGAAGCATACTGGATAAAGCTTTTAGTTAGTTTTTTTTATTTCCACAACCTTATTAAAACTTTATGTCAGTCATTTGTTACAGAGATTACCTTGAAACGTATGGAGCCTCGTTTCTCTGTTCATCAGGAGAAAATAACTTATATTATGTTATATTTGCAGCCAGTTGTTGAAAAATGATTCACAGTTCAGTTTCTCCTCTTTGCTCTTTAGAGAGTTTGTGTAGGTCAAAATAACACAAGCAGGCACTGAACAGGCAGAAGAAGCAGTCAAGGTTCAGTCGCTGGGATGTGCTGACTCAGGGAACACGGCTTCAGCTGAAGACTACTGTTGCTTTGAGTCTCCTGCTGTGTAAATAAGCAACAATATGTCAAGTTGTCTGTGGACTTCTTTTAAAAGCATGAGTATGTGGCTAGAGACTAATTATTTTAGTAACAGAGAAGGGACAAGCTGAGGTGCAAAAAAAAAAAGATTGTGAATTACAGAGCAGACGAGTTGTCTTCACCTTATCAGTGCACTTTTACAAATAATTACACAGCAGTCAGCTCTGCCGCTTCAGCTGTGAGTCTTCTGCTGGAAAACATTACAGTGTACAAGCAGCTGTCTGCTTCCACACTGCGTGACATACAGTTGGCCTCTAGAACCAAGAGAGATGTCAAGGTGAGGGTCAAGCCCAGGAGAGCAGCAGTCAGGGAGGCAAGAATGAGCTGAAACACAGGTGCAAAACAAATATGGAATGATGGAAAACATGCTGACAACTGAATTAAACATAGTGAGAATATCTGCTGAAGAAAAATACTGTATGTTTGTAAAAACAATTTCCCAGCAGGCAGACCTCCTGGTTTCAGTTTGTTAAGAATGCTGGATGTGTAACAATAATCCCTTTGCAACCTCAGTGGTATATTTATCAGACGCTGAGGTTGGATGGACGAGTCGAGCGTGAAGTCAGAGCCAGGATGAAAGGCTACAAACCGCACGAGGCTGCAGAGAGAGAGACAGGGCTCTGGTTACAATCTGTCACACTAATGTCTGCACTTTACCTGCTTATTCTGAACAGGAAATACTTTTATTTTCCAAAATCTGTGTATTTTGGATGACACATCACATGTTCTTAAATATTTATTTTGATTCCCTTCAATAATCTAAGGCAAGTCCTTTTGCCATGGACTCAGCCCTTCTCAACAAATTTACCGAGCCACATTTTATTCAATATTTACAGCTTTGGTTAGAGTTTGTTAGTTCCTGGTGTCATCTACACTGTTCTTCTCCTCATACGTGTGACGGTCACAATACAGAACAGCGGTGCAGTACTGAGTGAGTACAGACAGCAGGACTCTGATGACTGTACCAGCTAGAACTTTTTGGCTTTTGTGTCAGCAGGAGCTTTGTAAATGAAGCCATCACATTCTTAAGTGTTGGACCTCTGAAATGTGCCTCCTCATTTGTTTCCCAGACAGCGAGTGATGGACAGAATGACGCTGCAGAGCTGCTACTCTCAGAGCTGCCAAGTGAGGATGCATCCGAGAAGCACAGTGACATCTGCTGCATTGTAAAATACTGTTATTGCTCTCTTTTATGGCGTTGCTTTTCAGAAGACATAAAGTGAGGAAGAGGGGGCTGAAACATCAAGGAGAGAAAGGACAGAGAGATGATAGCAAACAAGGTCATATAGTTGAAAATCCCTTGAATGGCTGAGTCGCAGCACCTTGAAGACCCTGACTTTATAAGTGTTTCTGCTAAAACAGGTCTTGCATTTGTCATTTTGCACTCAGCATTTTCATTTTGTCCCCATACTCTCTTCTGTGGTGTGTCCTATATTACCACAGATTTGTTGTGTGAATGTTTCAATCAATTACACCAAAATCACAAAAGTCTTAATCAGGGAAATCAGTTGTTTTCAAGCAGCACAAATGACAGACTCCTGCAGATTCATTAGTGATGTGAATTCAGACTAGTTAAAATAATCTCAAGTAGGAATTTACTGTTTCTCCCATCAGACCTCCAAACACAGCACTGTGTTTGACACTGATCCTCCTTTTGATGAAACCACCAAACTAACATTTATGTTTTTTTTCTGGCAGATAAGCGCTCATTAAGAAAGCAACATATGTTACCATGGCAACCCCAAGATTTAGTTGCCGACACCACCAGCAGTTGGGAGTTTAGACTTCCAACAGTTTTGCTTTTCTCTTTCTCTCTCCCTATTTCACATCAATCTGCTGTCTTCAGAAGAAACAACTGCACATGAAACACAAACACACAGAACCAGACACCGTTTGTGACTTTTCTATTTCATGCTGTTGTCAGGTTGTGTTTCAGGAAGAGAAAGTGAAAGCATAAAAACCATCCAGAGAGATTTATGATTCTGAGAGTTGAATGCAATGAATTAAAAAAAAATAGCACCAAGAAGATTAAATCAGAACAAAACAACAACACAGAGGTTTTAGTTGTAACCAGTCTACACAAAGCAAAGCCAGACAATCATCATTTTACTACTATAGACATATTGAAATCTTAGATGGAAATACCTATAACGCATCAAGATATTTGTTACTTGTTTAGGCTCCAGGGTGAAGGAGTCTTCAGACAGTCGATCCACATTCTGTGTTGTTCATTAATCAGCTTGTTGTTGGATACATCCCCCTCTGGCTGTCCTCAGGGTCACTAATAACACCCTATTTCAAGCTGTATTTTAGTTTTCCTAGACTTTAGTGCTGCTTTTGACATCGCTAACCGTGACACTGCATCTGGTCGACTGAGGAAGAGGCTGAGGTTTACTACTACAGCTCTTGAATGGGTCTCGTTATATTTATAAAACCGTTGATGCTTTGTGATGATTCCTCAAGGTTCTCGGTGGTTTGTTCTGGAGCCAGGACACTGTACCCATGTTTGACTGTATCTACAGTACTGTACCTTCTCAAAGACATTTTATTATTATTCCTGATCCTTTTTTTATCCATTACTTTTTGTATGTGTGTGTATACTGTACGTATTTACCTATGTGTATATATGTGTTTGCTTGCTTGTTTGTATTTTATGCTCAATTGAATTTTGTTTTCATACACTTTCGTTGCACCGTGATAGACTGGAGACCTGTGTAGGATGGACCCCGCCTCTCGCCCAGCGTCAGCTGGGATCGGCTCCAGCACCTTGTGACCCTCTACAGGAATAAGCGGTGTAGATAATGGATGGGTGCTTTTGTCATTATATGTTTTCCTTTGACCTGGACAAGCACTTTGTAACCCTGTGAAAGGTGCAGTATGAAGATTTAACTTGCTGCTTGAAGCATTTGAACATCAGATCATTGTCACATTAGTTGGTGTTGTTAGAGTATCAATGTAAACAAACTATGACTATGACCATCAGTTAGAGAAGCGTCACCTGAAGCGGTGTGAAGCCAGTTTCAGACACAGTCCTTCATATTAAATAAGACAAGGACTTCTTCTGTCTTTTCTCATGTTTGTTTTTCAATCTGACCCCCAGAAATAGAACAACAAAGTGATGTTTCATTTTGACTTTGACCTTGAGGAAGCACCGGCTTCCAGTCTAAACACTGTTTTACTGTGGCTCCTTTGATTAGTGATTGTGGACAGGTTTATTACTCCCCTCCTCAATACATGCTTGTTTCTTATATCGAGTATAATGCACCAGAGATGTTTTGTGTCACCCCCTCTTTGGTTAAGGAGCAATCAGATAATTGCTGGAATCACAGTTTGGTATCTCACTGTTTATACACACACACAAGCAAGCACAGTGCACATATACATTCTGCACAGACTGCAGGTTGTGGGTTTTTGTACTGTAGTACTTGTGCCATTATTTTTGTTTGTTTTCACTCCCCTAATTTACAGGTGTATGGTAACTACATACCACAGCTACAAATGTAATTTGTTGTAATATTCAACAGAACAGCCTTTGTACAGACTTTAATGGCTCCCAGAGGAGCAATCCTAGTTTGGTGACTTTTTCTCCATCATCATTGGGTCAAACATTGAGTTTGTCAACTTCTTTTGATTTGTCACATCTGAAAAAAAATACTGAAATTCCCAGCAGCTTCTCATACAGTGACTGCAGTAAGTGTTTTACCTGCTAAACATTGTTGTCACAAACCAGAAAAAAAATATTTTCAGCTCTGAAACTTACTTGTCTGCATGACCAAACCAAAACCACCTCTCGTTCTGCATCTTTCCCTCTGGTCCTGCCCAGCTGCCTGATTATGTCAAGCTGATTGTTGTGATTGCACTGTGGGAGGAACCATCTCACCTCAGCATTTGGCCTGGCTGTATAGTGTGTGTCACAGTGACCTGCTGGGGCTTTTGTGATTGATAGCACGAGGACACGACCAGGATTACAATGCCATGATGTAGAGGCAAATTAATCATTCTGACACTGCGGGTGACAAGTAATTTCTCCCATGCATGCTAGCAGGGTGAAACCTCGGGCAGGTGGAAGGCTCAAATATGACCAATGCTTACCCTGTGCAGGTGGAGCTCAGGCCTTAGTTGTTTATGCTCAGAATTAACATTTAAGAGACTTTTTTGCAAAAGAGATGGATGTTTTCATGTGCATGTGGTTGTGGCTCAGGAGGTATTGTGTGAGTATTTTTGCATGGGAATGGGTGAATGGGAAATAGTGTAAAGCGCTTTGAGTGTGTTTCAATGCATAGAAAATCCATATGACCATTTATCATGCTTTGCAGCTGGTGAAGCGACGTTCTGATTATCAGGTTCTGCTGCAGATCAGTTAACTTACGTCTCTTACTTTGAAAATTCCAGGGATGTAGGTGTAATAACCTAATGCAAAACACATGCACCTTAGTCAGATGTGCAGCAGGCCTGGTAACATTAGCATGCCAGTAGCACTTTCAGATGCTGGTTAGAGTGCAAGCTATGTAATAGCCAGGAAAAAATAATAGTAATAAAAGTAAAAATTCTATAATAAATGCTGAATTCCTGTATTAGATAACAGGTAACCAAATACTTAGTTGACATTTAGTTCAGGGCCATGTAGCTACTAGTGTGGATGCTGAAGCATTTTGGTTTTGTGTGAGGTAGTATTTGCAGAAAGTCAGAGGGGTCACAGTTAAAAAAAAAAACTGGTGCCAGGGTTTATACCTTTATTTGTATTTATATTTATTTATCACCATTCTTGACTGCTGTCAAAAACATCAAATATAAACACTATGGACATTTGTCTGTGCCCTCAGAAAGTCTTACAAATCAAAAGTAAAAGCTTTATTAAGGTTTGATTAAGTTTAGGGTTAGGGAATGACCATGGTTTTAGAGAACATTTGTGATCATGGCCATGCAGTAGATCAGATGTGGCCTGTGGTTTCTAATTTAAAAAGAAAATATGATTATTGCTTCACCAAATAAAAAAAAACTAACAATTGTAACCAATGGCTCAGTGATTACTGCTCTAATGTAATCAGACGCCTTAGCAGTGTTAATAAAAGACATTGCTGTCCTTTTTCACAGTGTCCCTGGTACTCTGTTACAATATGATAAAAGGTCCTTTGGCTTCAGCAGCCTGCCATAGAGTTCCTGATACAGAGTAACAAGGTCAAAGGTCATGTTCAGACAAATCAAATCCTATTTTGCTTCTTGTCTGTTAGAGGGGAGACTGGTAATACTGGTTAGTAGTGTGCCCTGGTGCAGCTGGCTCACTCTCGAGTCTTTTCACTGAGATGTGTTGCCTGATGCCTTTGGCAGCCCCTGTTCTTTAGTTTTGTTTTTTTTTTATTTTTGTCTGCCTGGAGAATCAGGACCGCACAGTGATGACAGCACGCAAATAACCAAAGCAAAAACTTATGAAACTGCCATCAAGCAATCAACCAGCCAAAGAGCTGAGGTAACCTTCTACCAAACAGCTGAACAGGCACCAAGCCGATCAGCCTGTCGAATAAACCACCCAAACCACTTATAGATAAAGCAGCTTGTCACCAAACTGGACAATAAATAAATGTACCAATACATCTGCAA